CAACGCGCAGCACCTTGTCACGCTACCGTTACCGTACGTGCCTGAACGTTACATGCCTGCTTTAAAGGTTTTCTGTCGTTTTCTGTCTCCAGCTTATCAGTTTAAAGTCTTTTCTGTAGCATTTATCCTTTATTATTATTTTTTCTACTTACTTTGATTCTGTTTTATTTTCCTATATTTTAATCATGTACTTTGCATTGTTTTTGTACTGAATTGTGCTATACAAATAAATATCCCCTGCCTTGCCAATCATTGGCAATGCCCACCCCCACCCCGGCCCCCCATCTAGCTCCGCCCCTGGCAACAGTCGGTCCTCAAACGCGCCGCTGTATTTGTGACACGCGGTGGCGCCCCTGGTCTTGTCCTTTATAATATCTGACTTTAATTTCTAAACGCCCTAAGGTTCCGTTAAAAAAAATAATAAAGGATAAATGCTACAGAAAAGACTTTAAACTGATAAGCTGGAGACAGAAAACGACAGAAAACCTTTAAAGCAGGCATGTAACGTTCAGGCACGTACGGTAACGGTAGCGTAACAAAGGTGCTGCGCGTTGTTTTTCCTCTATGTGACATGCGCACGCGCGCACACAGCAAGCCGCAGCAAAAGCAAGCTGATGTCCGACACCGAGCGATACTAAGGGGGGACACAGAGAACCCCAACAGTGGCCGTAATGTAAATGAGACCCGCCTGTCGGAACATGCCTAGGAAAGTGAACGCAACCTCGGCAGTGGATGACGATCGCGACCCGTTATGGTTCAGATTTGCATTGCTCACTGAGTAGTGGATAATACTGTTTTATTACGAGAGGGCGTTGAATCATCGCCGGAGCAAAGATGCCGCCCCGCTCTCACAGCCTCCAATCCAGCGGACTGACGCTCTCTGAAACAAGCATGGGTAGGTGTGCGCAAGGTCACCGCTGCGTCTGCACCAGCTTTCTATTGATGAATGACTGCTACTGGCTGCATGCCCTGCTCCCAAACCACGTTAAAGCAGTTTATGGCAGCTCCATAAACACCAATATATGTCAATTTTTTGTCCTTCTCTAAAACACTCGTTACACAACCAGACGGGTGTTTTCTTTCTTCCCCAGGCCAAGGTACGTCACTGCAGGTGCGGCTGCGTTGGGTAACCACAGCAGCCTGGATATTTGGCTGTGGATGCTGCTCAGATTTAACCAGGATGCTGGGCAACTTCACTTTAATTCAAATCAATGAAACAATGCATTCTGCATAGTTTTGATCACAAAGCCTTTTGTATGTCTTAGATTGACCATAAACTGATATTGTCTGACACATTGGATATGATGGTAGAACTGTAGGGTATTTTTTTTTTTTTTACAAATGTAAATCTGGAAAGCAGCCACAGCTGATCATTTTAAAATAGAAGCATCAGAGGCATAGCCAGAAATTTTTATAAGGATGGCCAGGCAATAACTAATGAACACTGAGGGGTGGCCGGAAGAGGATACATCAGGGTCAGTCTACACTATTGCAACATTAACAAGCACAATATCCATATTTTTTAAATAAAGACAAACTATACTTTCCTACAGCCTTTGGTAACAAATAGACATATATTTAAACATCCATGCTGTCTAGATAAAAGGTATTGTGGATACAATTCTTTCAGGTTTTTATCAACAATTATTCTGCATAGAATTTATTTTTACAAGTACTAATACATACATAAATTTATTAAGTTTTTGTTAAAATAGTTATTTATCTATGATTTCACTGAAGACTCCCAGAAGACTTGCAGAGACACATCATTTTCTCTTTACTCCATAGTATAACACACAATCTAGCTCTGAAAAGAGCATGAATTGATGTGCATAATTAGAGCATGAATTGATGTGCATAATTATCCACAGTGTTTTTTCTGTCGAGTAAATATTAATATATAAAAAATTGTTTTAAATATTCCACTTGAGAGTATTACTGCTGCCACCATCTGTATTAGAGGGAAAAAAATAGTAGGGATGGCCAATGATTGGCTAAGGGTGGCCATGGCCACCCCTAGGCCCCCCATTTAGCTTTGCCCCTGAGAAGCATAAAAAAAAAATCTTGCACTATAGTAAAAACCACAGAGCATATAATGGGATTAGGTAAGTTGTTATTGAAAGGTAAGCCACAGCTCTCTGTGTCCCTCATCTCTGCATCTATGTCCTTCAATTATTTTACTGGTGACACTGAATCCTTACTGACAGGACTATGTTGTCCTACTTATCTCCATATGAGCCTTTGTGCTCATGTTTGCGACAATTTAACCCAGTCCATGACTATTTTTTCCATTTGGTAACACAAATTTAAGTTTGTTTGAATTGATTTCTAATTATTTTCAATCACTTTTAATCAAACTTTTACCTACTAATTGACTTTTATACTATCAGAAAAACTTTCTGTTTTGGAGGTTTTTCATATGCCAACAAAAAGTGAGGAATTAATCTATCAAAGGAAAACTTTTTCCTGTTAATACTCTACATTTCTTGTATTTTTTTGACTATTCTCTTAACTCTGATTCTGAAATGTTCACATTACCTAATTTCCTCCCTATTAAACTTCTGAACTTTTTAAATATTTACCATATAATATATTATTGATTATCATGCTTTAAATAAGGAGGCAGATGGATGGATGGATGGATGGATGGATGGATGGATGGATGGATGG